TAAAAAAAAACTCAAGAAATTTAGGTCAATAGATCCATAAAAATATAGTATCATGAGAATAACACGTACATAAAAATAACCAAAATCTGCTTTCATGATATGAGGATGGTATATTAACGGATAGACCATATAATGATCAACAATATATTATTGAATGCAGTTTACACTACAAAACCTACCTAAGCGCCGAACTGTAGCTTCGACCACACTCATGTTATAAGTAATCACAGTGTAAAAATAATGAAATTATCGCTTAAACAACAGGAATTTACTATTTCTAAAGAATTAATGGGCTTTGCTTTTTTAAACCGACCTATTTCTCTTTTCATCTGGATATCGCTATTTGAGCAAAGTCTCAATTTATTTTACAGTATTCATCTGTACACCGATCTGCACACACGGGAGAAAAGATTAAAATAATATGCCCTTAGACAGGTATCTTAGAGTTGGATCCAGCGACTGATCTAGCGTGTTTTAACAGCTTCGCTCCGAGGAGCTTCACAATCAAGCAAGGTTCTATTTGCCTTCAGAGTACACACACTGGTTCAGATTTTCTCGACACTTATACCCGCTCAATTTCGTATCCATAACATAAACGATTCAATCTCTAAGTATTAATGGATTTTTATTATTTCATAAAAAAGAAACATTCTTTCTATGTTTTATCCTGTTCATTTTTTTAAAATGCTTTATGAGTTAACTCGAGTATTAAAAAGAAGGTAAGAAAATAAAAATAGAAGTAGATAGATAAAATTCACGAGGTGATGTAAATGACTCAGTAAAGAACGCCAAGGAATGATTTAAAATAAATATCATTAAACACAAACATTAGAAATTTTCGTAAGAAGATAGAAATATATGGCTGATCGAAACATTTACAGAAATAGAAAGCAGAAGTATCTTAGATAACGGTGGTTATTCATAATAATATAAAAAAATATTACGACAAAAGATATGATGCTTGACAGGATGATGAAATCAAAAGAGGGTTCACTCGTAATAGAGAGACAAACATACTACTCCGATTAAGGAATCTGTCGTAGAGATATTCCACGGGGAATGTGATGAATATTCATTACAGAAAAAAAATGGAAGGTCATGTAAATATCGTGTTGACCAAGATTAAGAGAAACAAAGCAGCATGATCAGAAGGGATTGTAACAGAAACGCCATCAGAATTTAAAGATATCGCGATGAACAAGATGATGGAAATGAGGAATATAATATATGGCGTTGTCGACATCTAAAAAGACACACGGAGATCAATTTTGTTGCATTGCCTATGAATCAATTTGCAAATGAACACAAGCTCATTCATTCAATCAGCTTAAGGAATTCTATTATCAGGATTCGGATGAAATGATCACGGAGCAGAATTAGACCGGCAATAGTACAACAGCGTAGTTCCATTAAAGTCACTGGAAAAACATCAGCCACATATAATAAATATGAAATTGAGCCCTACGAACACAAAAGAATGAAAATCTATGCTTGAAAAACCATAAAAAGCATTTGATAAGACAAGTGACAGAGAACTGTTTAAACCAATAGAAAAATGATATGAGGGCATATATTAGAATATTGTAGAATATGTCTGGAAATAAACCTTCTACAGATAGAAAGAAAGCTAATTTGTCTGAAAGTGACTTAGGAAAAGTATGACTTTTCTAACCGGATTAATTTAATTTATACAGCCTACGACAAATGTAAGGCTTGACAGGAGACTTTATTTGTGGACAAATCTTGACAGCGAATAGATGGAATTAGACGAAGGCGTGAATAAAGGACTAAACACCAATCGTAAAAAACAAAAGAAAATAAAAAATCACTAATAAAAGTCACAGTCGAAGATTAGAGCAAGGAATTGTAGCTATAAAAATGTACCAAGTATAGAAATGCAGAATACCTGTAATGTGTATTTGATAGAACAAAAGGCGAAAAATACTATAAAATAATAGAGTATTTTCAATAGTGACAAAGAAAATAGCGCTCAATTGGTAGGTAATATAGACCCTCCAATAAATGCTTAATATTTACCCTTGGCTAATTGCTTAATTACTAACCCCCTTAGCCTGAAAAGGGATCTAAAGCTTTATTCAAGTAATCATTAAAAACGCTTTTCCTTCTATGCTATTAACAGGTTAAAAGAATAGATAATTTAGCCGATAGGACGCTTAATATTCCATCTAAGTTTATTGAAAGGCAGTAGAGATTTATTGCTTTTTCTGGTTAAGAATATGGTATATTGTTTTCTTTTCTTCGTTGGCCAAAGTAAACTATTAGAGATGTGAATGTTCAGTGACTGCAAAATTTATAATGAGAGTACAATTTTGCAGTTTCTGTTTCGGTCGCGCGCGCAAGAACTCGGCCTCCTTGCTTCTCCTCGCACACATTTTTTTAACCTGTCACGAAAAAAAAAACTTATGCAAAAAACAAAACCCTGGACGGGGGATCACTCGGCTCGTCCGTCGATGAAGAGCGCGGCCAGCCGCGAGAACTGATGCGAATTGCAGGACTCAGTGAACATCGACACCTCGAACGCACATTGCGGCCTCGAGATCCCTTGTCTCGGGGCCCCGTCCGGTCGAGAGGCGGAAAATGGCATGTCTTCTCACTTGATAGTCGAGAGGCATGTCACCGTCCACCGCGTCGTTCTTTCTTCATGAAAGAATTGCCCGTTTCTCACGCGGAGGAAACCGGGACGTCGCAGGAGGAGCCTGCTGCTTCACTTCTCCTCCTTCGTCTCCCGCTTGAAGACCGCGGGGTCGCTTCCGTTACGACCGCGAGCAGACGTAGATTGCAAGACGTTGACTACGGCCACGCGCAAACAGCAGCAGTGGTAGCACCATCGTTTCGCTCTCGGAGGTCGAAATACAAACCTTGGGCGTCTCGAAGCCAGTCTGTGCCGCCGCCGCCGCCGTTTTCTGCCGTCACTGTGCGTGGTCGCGTTTTGCCTTACCTCAAACACACCGCCGCCCTCGGCTCGGACGAGACGACCCGCTGAACTTAAGCATATCGCTAAGCGGAGGAAAAGAAACCAACCGGGATTCCCTTAGTAACGGCGAGTGAACCGGGAGAAGCCCAACGCCGAATCCCGTCGCAAGTAAAAGGCTTCGGGACGTGTGGCGCATGGGTCGAAGGCAGTCGCTCGTTTTCGTCTCGCGTAGTTCGGAGTTCCTCGATCGGGGCCGCCCGCGGCGGGTGCCAGGCCCATTCGGTGCGGACGGCGAGCGACGGCCTTCGATCCGAGAGTCAGGTTGCTTGGGAACGCAGCCCAAATCGGGTGGTAAGCTCCATCCAAGGCTAAATACCGGGACGAGACGGATAGTCGACAAGTACCGTGAGGGAAAGTTGAAAAGAACTTTGGAGAGAGAGTTCAAGAGAACGTGAAACCGCCCAGGGGTAAACGGGTGGGACCGCTCACCGCGCGGGGGACTCAGTCCGGTGCTGCCGAACGTGGCCCAAACTCGATTTGGTTGTTGCCCGGGTTTCGCTAGGGGGCGGCGCCCATCTCAGGCCGGCGCGAACGTCGTTCTGGGGTCACCGGCGGGGAACGCAGTTTCTCGGCAGCTCTGCCGCCGGCAACTCGACCTCGACGCCATCCGGATTCTGCTTTTTGCGCTCGCGTCGCCGACGGGAGAGACGGGCCGCGGGGAACGAGGAGAGCGCGGCGGTCGCCGCGACAGGCGGCTGCCGCCGCTGTGGCGGCGATTCGCGTCGCTGCTGCTGCGGCTGCCGCCGTGGCCGCCGTCGCTGCCGTCGTGGCTCCTCCTCTCCATTCCTCGCGATCACCCGCACCTTTCCTTCGCTCGGCATCATATGGCGCGGGCGCTTCGGCGCGACGCTCACATTCCGCACGGCCGGCACCGGAAACACTTCCCCTCCGGTCCGTCGTCGCGACCCGTTCCCGGCGTGCAGGTCGACGCGCGGTGTCCGTAGGCGGAAGGCGCACTCTAAACTCCACCCCTGCTTGTCGGGGGGGGGGCGTCTTCTGTCGGGCCCGCGAGCGTACTGCCCCCTTCTGCCGGGGACGGAGGAAACGAAAACGCGATCCGTTACACGTGGCGAACCGGTTTCTTCTCGTCGGACGATCCGCGCGGCACTTCGCGCGCCCTCGGCGCCCCACCGTCTCGGGCGTGCGCGGGACAGTGTTAGTGGGAGCTTCGAAACCGGCGCGGCCGCGTCGATTCCCTTGCCGGCACGCGACGTCGTCTCGTCGAATCGTCTTCTCCGCGTCCGGACGCCAAATTCTGGGCGCGCGGGAGGGCACTGCCAGCGCGGTAGGTCGGCGTCTGACTGTGCCGCCCGTCACCTCGGGTCCGCGACGTGCATCGGCAACCCACCCGACCCGTCTTGAAACACGGACCGAGGAGTCCTAGCCGTTCGCGAGTCGTAGGGGCCCCGAAGAACCCCGAAGGCGCAGCGAAAGCGAGAGAACGCGTGGGAGGGCACCGGTTCTGGGAGAGGTGTCGCGGCGAAAGCGGTTCCGGCGGGGAGTTTCTCGCTTCCTTCCGCCTGCCTAGCCGTGCCCGATTCCGCCGGCGCTTGCCATCTTCGTCCCGTCGTTCGTTTCCCTCTTTTCCTCCATCCGTCCCGTATCGGTTCCTCCACGATTTTCCCGTCGCCGGGAGATGACGCAGTGGGCTCGGGCGCTTGTGGCGGGGGGAAAACTCACGGGGGTTCGTTCGCGGCTGCAGCCTCAAACTTTCCTCCCACCGCCCACCGGTGAGATCCCGCGGCTTGAAATACCCCCGGGTCGGTAATTTTTTCTCCGAGTACGACTCGGCCGACTCTGGCGTAGCGAGCGGCCAGGGACCCGAAAGATGGCGATCCACGCCCGGTCGGGATGAAGCCAGTGGAAACTCTGGTGGAAGTCCGAAGCGCCTCTGACGTGCAAATCGATCGTCGGAACCGGGTGTAGGGGCGAAAGACCAATCGAGCCGTCTAGTAGCAGGTTCCCTCCGAAGTTTCCCTCAGGATAGCTGGCGTTCGATCGTCGCAATTCCATCCGGTAAAGCGAACGATTGGAGGCCCCGGGCCGTTCACGGCCTCGACCTACTCTCGAACTCGGAACGGGTGGAACGGGTCGACTCTCCCGAATACGGAGCCGCCCCACTTCTCTGCCGCCTTCGTCGTCTCGACGGCGGCAGAAACGAATGCGAGTGCCATGTGGGCCACTTTTGGTAAGCAGAACTGGCGCTGTGGGATGAACCAAACGTCCGGCTAAGGTGCGTAACGCGACGCCCATGAGATCCCCAAAGGGTGTCGGTCGATATAGACAGCAGGACGGTGGCCACGGAAGTCGGAATCCGCTAAGGAGTGTGTAACAACTCACCTGCCGAATCAACTGGCCCTGAAAATGGATGGCGCTGGAGCGACAGACCGATGCCGGACCGTCGCGGCGAGGAGCGCTTGCGCTGACGAAAACGATGCGCGCGCCTGACCGATGCCGCGACGAGTAGGAGGGCGCCGCGGTGAGCACGGAAGCCTAGGGGCGCGAGCCTGGGTGGAGCCGACCGCGGCTGCAGATCTCGGTGGTAGTAGCAAATATTCGAACGAGACCTTCGAAGACCGAAGTCGAGAAGGGTTCCCGTGCCAACGGCGGTCGAGCACGGGTCAGTCGGTCCTAAGACGCAGACGAAAGTCTTCCCGAAAGGCGCCGGATCCGTAAGTCTGTCACACAATTTTGTTGTCCTCAAACAAAACGACGCTAACAAGGACGAGCGGACGGCCTTCCGTCGAAAGGGAATCGGGTTAATATTCCCGAACCCGGACTCGGAGAGTGCCCGGGGGTGGCGGCGCTACTGGCAGCAATGTCGGTGGCGTCTCGTCGCTTCTCGGGCGAAACCGCGGTGACGTCGCCGAGATCCCCGGGAAGAGTTCTCTCTTCTTCGTAAAGTACCGTGTCCGTGGAATCGGCTCGTCCGGAGATACGGAAAAGGTACCTGTAAGGCGCCGCGGCTCGGGCGGCGTCCGGTGCGCTTTCGGCGGCCCTGGAAAATCCGGGTCCGGTTTTCGCAGCTCTTGAGTCGGTCCGTACCCACCATCCGCAGCAGGTCTCCAAGGTGTACAGCCTCTCGTCGATGGCATCAATGTAGGTAAGGGAAGTCGGCAAAATGGATCCGTACCTTCGGAAGAAGGATTGGCTCCGAGGACCGGGTCGGCCGGGCCGTGCCCGCGCGAAGTGAGGAACCGGAACGGGGCTGTAGCGTTCGCTCCGTTCGCGCTTTGCGGCGCGGGTTCAAGTTGTCGTAGCGGTCCGTCGGCGTCGCGGTCGTGCTCGGGTCGGGGGTCGCAGGGTCGGGCTAGGCGGCGTTCGGCGGCATGGGGCGGCGGTTTTCGGGACGGGGCGACGGGCGCTCGCGTTCGTGCATCTGGCGGCGGCTCATATCGGGTCGTCTGACTGTGCGCGCGATGCGTCGTTCACGAACCCCGAGTCAACCCATTCTTCGCCGCTTCTTACGCTCGTCGTCTTCCGCTCCCTTCTCTGTCCCCTTTCCCGTTTCGCGCGGCTCGCGTGTCGCATGCGCTACGGGTCTCCGCTCGAGGCGCCACCCCGTCGCTACCGGCGCGTCGGCCGGCGAGCAAAATGGCTCCTCGCCCGGGTCTTCGTGGAGCGCCACGGCTTCCAACCCCTCTTCGGGTAAGCGGCGCGTGTAGGCCTCAACCTGCGTTCGCGCGCAGGCGGCTCGCACGCGCGCCCGTTCCGCCCGTAGTAGTAAGGAGCGTGAAATCCTTAGTAGAAATTATGCAGTTCTGATAATCAGTCCTCAGATTATACTTTCACGTAATTTCAATTGTCGTTATTGCACTCAGCACATTTTTTTTCCTTTATCGTTCTCCTTCTTCACAGGATTTTCCCTACTAACGACTCTGTAAAAGTGTGTTAAATAATGATGAAAACAGTATTTTATACTCGTAAATTACATTCAAAATCTACGCTTGATCAACTGGAGTATATTTTCCTTACTTTCCACATCCAAGTGAATCTGTATTGAGTTGTACACGCAGGCGCACGCAAACACACACACACATAGATGCATGCATCTGTGTATATATATATACATATTTCGGACTGTTTATTTGTGTATATTACGCATATATTTGTGATTGTGTGCATAATGTATATATATATATATATATATATATATATATATATATATATATATATATATATATATATATATATACAAATGTAGGTATGCATGTATGTTTATTTTTATATATAGTTTCTCTTGAAAAATTTAAGCTACAATAAAGAATATCTGACGTCTATTCCAAAAGACTAGCAATCAAATTGTCTGTTTGTCTTATATGCATTGTCTAGTTTCCAATTCGTTAACATTGCTTCCTGTTCGTCTGTCTGACAGAGACCAATTCCAAAACTGTCACACATAAATTGAATTTAAAACCATATGTTTTTATTACCTTTAACACTATTAGTTATTTTTATGTTATTCATTTCGGCCAGACATTTGTAAAAATGGCCCATTCTCGTTGGCCTTTGCCGTTCTGACCAGCAATTAGACTGTAATTGGCTGTAACTGGTGATTCGAAAGAAAAATCTGACGGACATCGATCAAATGTATGTTTACTATTTGTCCACCTTTTTCATTTTGCGTCAGATTAGTGTCTGCTTTGTTAATTAACATTTTGATTTTTGAACAATGTGACTATAATAAAACGTATTCCTTACTCGATTTATTATTGTCATTACAGTAAGTTCCAAAATAAACTTCACTTCATAGACATTCTACTAGTCAGGTAAATAATAAAATTTGCTAGATTTTAGGTTTATCAATATTTTGCATTCCTATCAAAATATCGATTTCTGTCAGTGCATCCGTGTCTTAATTCTAATAACTCATTTTTATGTAATAAATATATAACCAACATAATAATTATCAATACATTTATGCATTTTTATATAATAAATATATACCCAACATAATACTTATCAATAAATTTAAGCATTTTATATAATAAATATATACCCAACACAATACTTAAAAATACATTTATGCATTTTATATAATAAATATATACCAAACATCATATTTATTATTGTGGTAGGATCCACCTAATTTGCATAGTGGAGTACCGACCATATAAATATGGTTGGTACCGGGAAGAGAGGGAGGAATCAAGAGATTCAACCAGAGACTCTGCCCGACTGCGACTCAGTCAACACATTCTCCAGGAACGGTCTTACCAGGAATATATAAAAGACTATATGTAAATATTGTGTACACTTTCTTGTTTCAATACATTTTGTTCTAAGTACATTTTGTGTTGCATTATTATTCCATGCATTAGTCAAGTTTCAACACTTATCAATACATTTATGCATTTTTATATAACAAATATATACCCAACATAATTCTTATCAATACATTTATGCATTTTTATATAATCAATATATACCCAACATAATACTTATCAATAGATTTAAGCATCTTATATAATAAATATATACCCATCATTATATTTATCAATGCATTTATGCTATTTTATATAATAAATATATACGCATCATAATACTGGTCAATGCATTTATGCTTTTTTATATAATAAATATATACCCAACATAATACTTATCAATACATTTATGCTTTTTTATATAATAAATATATACCTAACTTAATACTTATCAATGCATTTATGATTTTTATAATATATATATATATATATATATATATATATATATATATATATATATATATACCGAACATGATAACTATCTATTAATTTTTGCTTTTCATATGATAAATATATACCAAATATAATACTTATCAAAGCATTTAAGCTCTTTTATATAATAGATATATACCCAGCATTATACTTTTCAATGCATTTAAATAAAAATGCTTAGCTCTTAATGCGAATTGAAATCTCGAATATCTTTTTACTTCGTCAATGAAACTAAGTAGTAATAAACATAATTATAAAGAACACAAGACCGACCGTTGTTCTGTTGTGTATTGGTTGTTCTTTACGTGTTGCGTCCCCCCAGGACGTAGTCGAACATGGCTTTTCACAACTTACTGATCCTTGTAGCTGTTAATAAACTTTGTCATTCTGTTATGACTGCTAAATCCTGTTCCGCCATCCATGTACTCAAGCTTAGTTAGTTAGTTAGTTAGTTAGTTAGTTAGTTAGTTAGTTAGTTAGTTATATGCTGTTTTTCTCTGTTCCTCAAGATCTATATGTGTCATCTGAGTATCATATTTTCCAAGTCCTCCATCTACATTATGTGCTACAAAATTGTATTCCTGATTTTAAGCAAAAGTTCGCGTTATTTGGAATCGAAATCTAACGATCCAAATTCATACCTCATTAGAACAATATATTTGACTTGATCATGTAGAAACTTCACATACTCAGAAAATTAAATAATGGTGGAAATATAGCATGATAACAACGTAGCAGGTTGAATATTTACAATCGAAAAAGATACTGGTTGTTTAAATCCTCTTAAGTGTCAAGGCTTTCGTTCGATCTAATAGCGTATATATGACAAATTAAATTATTAAAGAATAAATGGCAGCTTGTTAATTTTAACGCTTTCAAAACGAAACTTCTGCGTTAATCCACTGAGGGTCCCTTCTCTTGCATCCATCAGTATGGTAGATCATAACTTCCAGGAAAGTGACTCACTGTATCTTCTCGTGCTAAGATTCTCAGAAATAATATATTGATTCCAGTGCTAGGTCAGCTGCTAAGTAAGTGTGTCCACTGTGTCGTGAGAGACAATCTTTCTCCCCAGAGTCTATCTGGCATATCTATAAGTTTGTCATTCGTTTTTGCTTAAAATATTGCTACCACATATGGTCCCGTGCTCCTTCTATTTACCTTGGGCTCCAAGAACCAAAGAAGAATCCTCAATACATTAGTTCTAATCTGGGGACTCAGTTCAATTTTCTTTCCCAGTGTCATAATATTGTTTCCCGTGCCTTTTCTATCAATGTATTCATGGTAATTGTTCAGATCAGCTCTTCGCTAAGGTACATGGACTTTTTGAATTAAAACACGGTACTAGACAGGCATTGAGATCTCATCAGTTTACCGTTGAGCTGGCTAGATGCCATGGTAAATTCTATACTAACATTTTTTTCACGCTTGTGGAACCCCATTCTGTCTCCAACCTTTCCATCTAACATTAATCTGCCAAGATGTAAATGTAATATCAATCGCTGTCTATTGTCCTCCTGGGTACTCTTTCCTTTTCTCGCTCATTATTAAATTTTCTGTTCATAGGTAATGAAAATTTATCTGCACGCTGGTTGTTCCCGTAAGCTTTCTCATAATAAATGTCAAGAAAATTTACAGCCACACGATAAGCACAGCAAATTCAAATTTTGAATGAAAGAAAGAAAACAAAAATATATATATATATATATATATATATATATATATATATATATATATATATATATATATATAAATCAATTATAAAAATCTCTTCATATTTTTTTACCGTCAATATTATCGCGATATCTTAATTTTGTTCGATGTAAATCATTAAATTTTTGGTAGATATTTGAATCCCGCATACACCACATAGTTTATACCATTGTCATGTTTTGAGGCTGTGGACCTTATATATTAGATGTGGACCAGAACAAATATGCTAGTACTATTGCACGAAAAGCGACATTAGAAATATTCTTTTAAGAATTGGGAACCGTATGACACTAATAAATTAGTAGGACGTCAACTCAATTTTAACCTGTAATCTCCTTCGAGAGTCACCATAAGTTACTTCGTAGACTAGGTGACTCCAGAAGAAAGTTAAGCCTGACATTTCGAATGGAAGTATTCAGTACTTTCACAGCAAAATGTGAAACATTTGGTTTCCGTCCATGAAAAAAAAATTATATATTGAGTTATATCCACGCGAAAAAAAAAGTGAAATGTAATGAAAAATGCCTTTGGCCAAGAAACATTAAAGAAACCTGATATTTACTGACAGCAAATTCATTTCACATAATTTCAATTCCATTTAAATCTATTAACCTGATTTAATAAGGAGGAGATATTTGAGCCAAATGTCCTACATATATGATGATTTTGTGGTATAAAGATCATTTCAATCAGATGAAATCTTGAACTGTTTTCGAGGTGAGAAATGTAATTGTCTTAGCGATTAGAAGAAGGCCGAGAACTTTGTTGCATTTACGTCCTACTGTTATCAAAGAGTATTTATGTATTCGTGGTGTCGTGAGGAGAGGCATAGATTTAAATGGCTTTTTTTTCCTTTTTTAAGCATTACGCCCGAGCAAGGCGTGAAGGCACTAGGATGCAGGGGGTTGCAGGGAGCGAGAGTAGATAGGAGAGAAAGAAGAAAGGATGAGGAGAGGGATAGTGGAAAAGATCAAGGTAACTGGAGATGTCGATTGACATTACATTTGAATAGTTGGAGATTATAGCTCTCAGGGAAACAGAAATTGGGAAGGGTGGTCCACACGCGAGTGGTGCGAGGTATGAAGCTATTGAAGTAGAAGAGACGGCTATATTTATTTCTACAGTCTAAGGGTGGGAGCGGGATGCCAGCCTCGTAGGGCGCTTGAATTCATGGAGTCTGGGAACCAGTGAAAGAAGCTCAGCGGAGCAATTACCATGAAAGTATTTGTAGAAAAGACAGAGAGAGGCGACGGCGCGTCTGTGAGAGAGTGAATGTAGACGAGATGCCAGATCAGGGCCAATTATATTACATATCCGTCTCTGGATCTTGTCAAGAACTCTGGGGTAAACGGAAGGTGCCCCAGACCATATATGGCAACAATACTCCATGCAAGAGCGAATGGTTGATTTGTAGATCTGAAGTAACGATTCCGGGGAGAAAAATTTCCCGGAGCGGCACAGAGAGCCAACTTTCCTCGCGGTGGACGATGCAATTGACTCAATGTATTTTTTCCATCCCAGGTCAGCAGTCAACGTGAGACCGAGCAGACGCAGGGAAGTGCTCTCAAGAAGTTGACTATCAGACGTTCTAATGGGGTGGGGGGCAGGGAAGGATCGCTATGGTGATTAATAGGGAGTAGTTTAGTTTTCGAGGCGTTAAAGTTGACCAGCCAGTTCTTGCTCCAGTTAACAACCGATTATAGGTCCATTTCAAGACGAGCGGCCAGGTTGAACGCAAGTACATCCATATTGTCCAAGTAACTCAAATCTGTCCAGACTCTATATCAATGATAAAATTAAAATATGGACATTGTCGATTTATCTCAAAGCAAGTTAAGCATTTTGTCAAAGAAAGCTAGAATGAATACTGAATACTGCTACGTCAATGCAATTCTAAAATAATGGATTCAGAATTTAAGAGCGAAATATAAGTCTTGTAATTATTACGTATTGTCCATTTGCTACTTACACGATTCACATTGTTCGGACTGCTGTTTGCATATTTCTTGTCATATTATTATGTAGGCTTATTAATTTTACTAATTACTAATTTTTCCTTGATTTATCCTGCTGAAATTAGGGTGAGTTTTATACACCTGGGCGCTTTATACATCGTCAATATGGTAATTGTAAGAGCCGTTAGAAATTATACGCTTTACTGAGCTAGAAGTAAGTGGTTTGATTTTTAAATTCACTGATATTCGACAACAACGAAAGAAGAAAGTAGAAGTGTTAAACGTATCTGTGGAGTAAATCCCCATTTAGTAGGCATAATATATATATATATATATATATATATATATATATATATATATATATATATATATATATAACATAACTCCATTCAAAATGTTTTATTGAATATAGATAGTTTTGTTATATTTGTACTATTCCTTTCGAGTTGTGCAATCAGTTCTTGGTGTTAAGTTTAAATTCATCACAACGGAATGCAGAATTAATCGCAGTTACCATAAAAGTGTATTTGTAATTTACCACTGTAAATTTTCCTGGAAAAGATCGAAAGTACTTCTGATTACAAAAACTAAACCTCGCGTTCAATAGATCGCATCTGCGAAAGAAGAAAATGAAGAAAAAAGTCAAATATGCTTAGTCAACGCGTTTCATACTGAGGGGATTTATCCAGGCAATATATATATATATATATATATATATATATATATATATATATATATATAAATGTATGAAAAATATATATAAAACAAATCATAAATATATATATATATATATATATATATATATATATATATATATATATATATTGTTTTAAATCCACATAGCATCCAAAAACGTTTGCGATTTTCTCTTCTTTTACTTATGCATGCTTTTCTTTTGTTGAAACTATTATAATCCCTTCCTTATATATAAATATATATATATATATATATAGTCAATATGAAACAGTATTCATAGTTGACACTTTTCCTTCTCTCGTTTAAAAATGTGTTTGAATAACGTAATGATCTGCTGTATCTATGAACTATATATATATATATATATAGAGATGTATATGTGTGTGTGTTTGTGTTTGCAAGTGTGTGTGTGTGTGCATATGGCTGGGTGTGTGTGAGTGTCTGTATGTGACGGCCTATTTATATTCATAGTTTCCTGGTATGAGATTTCCGACCAGGAATTAGTAATCCAAAACACAAAACGCTCTCTAGGATCGCTAACTAAGATTACGCTAGACATCTAGTACAATAAACAGGTAATAAAGTTACATACACTAAAAGCTTGTTCGATAGAGTTTAATAGCTGCTAAAAGTGTCCACAAAGGTCATTAACTCAATAAGATGAAATCAATAATAAGAATGGTAGGGGATCACAGAACTGTTTGAAATTTTCTAGTGGATATTTCCGGCTAGAGATTGATATCGATTATCGCCAGCCTGAAAATAAAATCAATTGGTTTTATATTGACTTACTTAGTTTGGTAATAGATGCCTATCGATTTCAAATTCAAGTATACATTTAGTTATATAAATTTGGTCTCCCTTTTGCAAGTCATACACACATAGATACATACAAATATATATATATATATATATATATATATATATATATAGAGAGAGAGAGAAAGAGATAGATAGATAGATAGATAGATAGATAGATAGATAGATAGACATATAGATAGATAGATATAAACACACATAGAAAGATAATTTAAACACATAATATATATATATATATATATATATATATATATATATATATATATATATATATATATATATATATATATAATGAAATGTCTCGCATTAATTGCACAGCTCCCAGTTTCTGCTGAACAATAAAATAAAAAAAATATAATAATTCAAGTGCAGGAATTATTAGTATATTTTTAATTTTTAATACCAACTCTTGAAAATTGCTGCGTCATGAACCTCGGAATTGTGCAATTAAGATATTATGTATATTTTGTTATATATATATATATATATATATATATATATATATATATATATAGTAACGGACTATTTATTTAATATATATATATATATATATATATATATATATATATATATATATATATATATATATATTAAATAGCTCCGTTACTTAATATTGACATCTATTAGATCTTACGCTATGAAGTATTTATATGTATTTGTATAAGATTTCTCACCCGCATACTTACCCATTCAGTTATATATACTTACCCATTATATATATATATATATATATATATATATATATATATATATATATATATATATTCAACCCAAGCAAGACATAAATTTCACTAGTACAGAACATATTAGAATGTATGGAAATGATAGAAAATACAAGTATATGGACGGTGGCGAAAATAAAAATCATGAAATGGTTTCAGAAAAACAGAATATTGCGATTGACATTTCATTTAAATTTTACAAGGTTGTAGTCATCGGAAATGCTTTCCACAGATATGAAGTGCAAGAAAAGGCAATGTTATACAAGAAGTGGCGCTTGAGTTTAGCTTTTTCTACAGTAATAGGAAAGTAACTCTATGCCAGATCAAGGAGCATATTTAAATTTATATCGTTAGGGCACCGGGAGAAAGCCCGGTAGAAACAGATGCCCTGAAATTATTTGTGG